CGGTTTTCGATCAGCGTATCGCAATACGTATCGTTTTCATGTCTGAACCGGTAAATACCGGTAAACCGGTTATATTGAGCAGCTCTACCAGACGGTGGGGTGACCTAGTGGTTAAAGCGTTGGCTAGTCACGCCGAAGATTTCTGGTGTCCTCCGCTGTGATATTGCTGGAATATTGCTAAAGGCGGAGTAAAACCATACTCACACACTTAACCGCCAGACTACCCCACCGCACCAAGAGTTAATTTTCTGTTGTTGCTTTTCCGAAAGGAACTTTGACATTTTCGTCGTTTTTACCAATCCTGCAGTATAACAGCAACGGAAGATGTAAAAAATTGCTCATTGGCTTAAAGGATTCCTATAATATGAAATTCGTGTGTTTGAATGTAGCCACTCAAAACGTAGCCTAAAACCAGAAAATTTGATAAACGAAATTAGGAAATTCAGGTTGAAGTATCTGCCTTTCAAGAATATTTACAGTTTTAAAGTTCAGGGTAGCCTCGGAAAAGTATGCGAAAGGATGACTCAATGGTATTATTAAAATCTGCGGTGGTAAAAGCGGAGGTGAGGTCAAGGCTATACTTGAGACTTGAGACTTGTACAGCGCAGCGCACAACAGGTTTCGGGGAGTCTGTGTGCACACACAATTGTAAGGCCACGATCCACGAATGATGTTTGATGTGTTTGGCAAAGATACTTTGAAGTCGTTAAACTAGGGAGTGTATAACATCACTTGTCTCTTTAGGAACTGACCTAGACTCGCTGGTAAAACATTAGTCTGTCTCACTGTCCCTGAACACATTATTTCCCCTTCTGCCCAGCCCTTTCTGCAAATCCTAAAGCCCTTTATGAAGCAAGTCTAGCTTTACTAAGGTTATGAATCTCCCATCTTACTGGCACTTCCTTTCAATTAAATAGGATTTTTTTTGTTTCTATCAAAATTATAATTAAGAGATTAAGCGTTAGTCTAATATAACATGAAAAACTGAAACATATGTAGCAGGAAACGCAGAATACCTGTAGCTCATGAGTAAAATAAACCTTTCCAAACAGTTCTGGCAGCGTTAAATCCACTCCATATTTCATCAGGGCACAGTGCTCATAGGGGTTCGAATTACTGTTTTATGTAATGAGTGTAGAGGTAGAATTTTCTTTAAAATTTATTTCTTCACCGATCTTGTTCAAATTTGAAATATAGGTTAATCATAACGTATAAAAACAATATACGACTGCAAAAGTGTAGATTTGTATTCTTAAAAATTATTGTCCAAACAGTGATTCGAACCCCTGTGACAGTGCTAAGGTCGTTTGTGGAACAAGGAATGGTCTGAAGATTAAATAAGAACTGGAATTACTTTGTTGTAACCGATATTTTGTTATATCGAACTTCAATTAATTCGAAGGTTATTTCATACGTTGTATGGATTACCAGTAGGACGGATAGGTATCTTGTACACAAATCGTATGTAAATTCAGGATACATTTTAACGATCTAAAGATGGTATAACATGGTACAGGTCTCTCTACTGACTAACGCTTAGTCTCTGAATATATATAATTTTGATTGTACCAAATAAACCCATTTAAATTGAAAAGGAGATGAATGGAGACTAGAGGTTCAGAACCTGGGGAAATCTAGACTTGCTTCATTTAGGGCTTTAGCATTGCAGGGAGGGCAAGGCTGTAGGGAAAACAATATGGTTCAGGGACTGTGAGACAGACTACTCTCTCTAAATGTGGTCCTCGTTGTGCGCCTCGCGACCACCACACCACTCAACAGAGCCAGCACAAGGCATGTTCCCGTGGTACAGGACCAGCCTCCCCAGGGTGACCGTGTCCTATTGGTGGAACAATGCGTTGTTCTTATACTCACGAATCTAGCAGCTGAGTAAAATGCTATGTCGCTGTAAATATGAAATCACTATTCCAGACGGCCATTGTGTGCAAGAATATACTTACAATTAATTTAATGTCGGGAGGGTAGCAATCAAGCCGTGCCTGGAACCACCTGGAATATTGCTTAGTACGGCGTTAAACAACATTCAGGTTGATGTGTCTGTTGAGTCTAACAACTGAAGCTACAGCACTATGCAGCTACTAATGACAAATAATGCCGCTCTTCCAGCTATACAGTTGTCGCTGATGTTAATTATATATTTAGATTGTAATTGTTGCTACTGCGATCGTCGTAGACTAACAACCCAGATAGCATTGATATGTTGGCCCATAGTTGGCCCATAATCACCGGTTTGGTTGGCCCATGGTTGTCAAACTGACGATGGGCCCACTTGGATATGCTCATCGGCTCCACAGTGGCCCATCATGTTGGATCATTGTTGGGCCAACGAATGAAAATTCACACAAAATCATGGCCCATAGTTGGCCCAACGTAGTGATTTTGTTGGCCTTATGTTGGCACCACCGTGTTACAACATTTAGCTCTTTCTTGACCTTTGTACTAAACCATGGCCAATACTTGGCCCAACGATGTGATTTAGTTAGCCTTATGTTGGCACAACAGTATTTCAACATTTAGCTCTTTCTTGACCTCTGCAATCAGAAACATATATAAACAACACAACAAGTTAATCAAGTGAACTATTTAATTCTTTTTTTCATTGTTATTTGAACATTATTGTATTTCTTAAAAATATTCTTGTCTTCGGTCTTTTGGCTGTCGCCGCTGACAGGTTTTTCGAACTGGTCCTGAAAAACAACCCAATAATTTCATGAAACTGTCAGATATCATAATTTTAGACATGAGATCTATCGTAAAAGGACATAGTATTTGACCTTATGTTTTATTTGGAAACATACACCTTAATGACTGAAAACTTCTTGTTTATTGCACAGAGTGACGTTCGGATGTAGATTCTTACACTGTTATCAAGCTAAAACCAAATGATTAGAAGTATATATGCGTAGTATGTTTTGACAATCAGCAGATTGACATTAACAACAACATGTAATTGAATAACAACTGGTACATTATTGGGAGAGGCCAGATGGGGACTAAGAACAACAAATAGAATGGTGATGGAGCCAATAAACAAGGGGGATTCAGTTGTAACAACAAGCTGATAGGGTGCTTTGGTAGAGTCTATAGTTCTTCATTGGTCTGTTGTTTTCATGTGACTGCAAAATTTGGTTTTGTTGCGATTATTAGATTTTGTGTTAGTGAGCAATTCATTGGTCTCAAATGAAATCAAACAGACTATGAGTTGGTGGGTTACTGGTTGAGGCTCCTGAAGACATGTTGTAGGTGGTTCCGCTCATGTTCTAGGTCATGGCTGCTGGAGCAAATGTTCTTAGTGTGCTTGATCAGGGTTGAGATGACGCCAAACTTAGTTTTAGGGGGCTGGTTTGACAAATTCGAAATCTTATCCACCAAAGAATCAGGACTTCACAAAAAGAAAACGTTTGGAAGCCATCGAAATCAGCCCCCACAAACCTTTGATCAATAGAGACCAAGGATACTACATACCATTGGGATATGAAGAACTAATCAAACTATAGACTCTATCAAATCACCCTATCAGGTTGTTACAACCTAACACCCCACCCTCCCCTCCCTTCCTTTGTTAATTGGTTTCATCACTAGATCCATTTGTTGTTCTTAGTCCCCAACTGGCTGCTCCCAATTATGTTTATTTGACAAAACATACTATGTACATGTATATATACTTCTCATCATTTGGTTGTAGTCACTTTTAGCTTGCTAACGGTGTGAGAGTCTACATCGAAACGTCGCTCTATACAATAAACAAGAAGTTGTCATCCATAGAGTTGTATGTTTCATTTTTGACTCACCAACTTCTAGAATGCTGTTCAAACAATGTTTTATTTGGATATGACGTGTACCTACTATAACTTTGACACATACCGGTATATATATGATGATGTTTAGCAATTATTGGTTGTAAAGATGAATAATAGAGAGAGTTGTATATGGAAACAGGAGTGTAACTGACAAACACATGATGTTCATAAAATAAACACAATAAATTTAAATAATTTAAAATGAAATGAGATTTATCAATGTGGTTAAAACAGGCTACCTAAAGAAAAGAGTCAATTAAATCTTTTACCTACTCAATCAACTGCCTTTCAATACAGTATGTGTCAGTTTCTTTAGCCTAAATGATGATTTAAACCAATTATTTCACAATATATTCGCAATTCAGTATCACAGAAATAACAATGCATATTTACCAGTTGAAGGCCTCCAGAAATGAACTAGTCTCTGAAATGAACATATTTTACTGAAAAAAATAGATTCATAGCCAAAAAACCAACGTATAATATAATGAAAACTGGAACCAACCAACATGAAGCTGAAATCTGAGACTTGCCACAGTTAATATAATCTAGACTTGCGTGGGCTTTCTTGGATATATTTGATTCAGGGTCTGTACGACAGACTACGATCGTCGTTGTAGCTCCTTATTCTGCTGTTGCTACTGTTGCGCCATCCACACCACTCCGATCACAGTAGCAGAGGCGTTGCTGACAATATCAGTTACTGGATCGTCTGATCCAGACTCGATTATATACAGGCTGTCGACAATTAAATAGCTAGAATACGGCTTGTTATGTTAAACAATTAACAAATCGAACGAATATTATTAGAACGAAAACGTCGGTTTATGATTCAGAATTTTCTCGACTTTCACGTGTGATCGACACTGCCATGAACAAAAAAGTTTTGTACCGACTCGACTGTGCCGCAGCAACGACAGATATCATCAGTCGCGCGTGCATCCTCACACTTTAGTGTCGTCTGCTTTTAACGTGGGACGTCCCAAAACAGTTCTACAATCTCGGGAACAAATCCAGATTATGTAATTCAAACAAAGTACACGACTGACTCCCAAACCCGTCGACTAAATGCATAATTTTCTCCTGTTCTATTTGAGTCACTTTTCCCCCGACCGTGCCCTCTCCCCCGGAATGTCACGTGCTCTCATCGTCCACATCAACATCTGCTTCGCGCTCACTGAGTGTAAACCTAAACTCGTCTCCACCCTGGCTGTGATTCAACAGGATTTGGCGGGAACCAGCACGTGACTTCAACACCTACACATCACAGAGGCGACAGTGTTCGCGCCAGTATGAAGAATTAAGCCAGATGATGCCGACTGTGACCACTATGCCTTCAATATGGCTAACCCTTCTTATCGGATTAATACTTATTGTGATTATAGCACTGTTGGTGAGTATGAGATATTTTACAACAATGTAATATATCTATAACTGTTATACTGGCATCAGGACGTGTACTTTAATAAGGCCTTATATTGTACAGTTAGATGACTGTTATACCATGGACCTATAACCGTTATTTAGATATATATGATGTACTCGATACCCCATCTCAAATGTGCTCTGGGGCGGTGGGGTAGCCTAGTGGTTAAAGCGTTCACTCGTCACGCCGAAGACCCGGGTTCGATTCCCCACATGGGTATACAATGTATTAAGCCCATTTCTTGTGTCCCCAGCCGTGATATTGCTGGAATATTGCTAAAAGCGGCGTAAAACTAAACTCACTCACTCAAATGAGCTTTAAGTGAAATACCCCTATCTCAAATGGCAGGTTGTATGCGAGTCGCGATACTATAGCACAGATGTGTGGGAGGAGACAGTTACCATCTGTGGTACCATCATACTCAGTTGTTTAAGTGAACTTTTGTGAAACAGTTACAAAATGTCCAATCACTGTTCCTTCTGTGAGAGAATTATGTGGTGCTTTCTTCCTTTTTCTGAAGATTGATTGTATGTTGAATCTGTATTCTTTCCGAAAGTGCAAGGTCCAATTCTTCCCCATCCCAAATGATATTTATAAATTAATATATACTAAAATTATTAACAAAACCAAACGCAACAATTACTAGAGAACTCACAAAAATAACTAAAAGCCCCAAAATTAATTACGATATATAGGGTGGAACCACGTTGTATGATAAGGGCCCCAGCCACGGTAATGTTACAAAATAAATATGGGGGAACGGAAGGAACTCTGTCCCTAACTGTCACTCAAAGGCTTTAAATCTAAACGTATTGTTGTGGAATATTTAATCGTTATTCATTCTGTCTTTTGTCAGTATACAATAGTCAAGTGTTTAGTCGTTACAATGTATTCTTAGTCAATAGGGTATTGTGTTTGGGGGGCTGTACAGAACGTGCCATGGCCAAGCCAGCACTTATGAACATGGGTTCGAATCCCGGTTCTCCCTGGTTATGTTTCTAGCTTTGTCAACAACCTGCCATGCTCCTATAGGCTTCATCAGAGTGGTAATGCTCTGACACCACGCCAAAAACTGCCATCAATGTACTGTCACTAACGGGGTCTTAGCACTATAAAAAAGGTCCTTTTATATAGTGCTAAGACCCCGTTAGTGACGGTACATACCTTGATGGCAGTTTTTAGCGTTACAAGCCCCTGTGGTTTCATGTAATACTAATCTGCATTCTATTTCAAATTTTTGAATTACTGCAGGGTTTGAGTCACTCGCGCCCTCCCACGTTCATAGTGCATGCGCGTTGCCTTTATTATAGGCTGTAACGTCTCCAATATGAGGTTTATAATATCTGATTCATCACACTGGTTTAAGTGGGTCCGTATTTCACTACGCCCGAGTGTTTATTAGTTCACCACTTAAATCAGTATTTATGCCTCCGGTCCTGAGTGTTTAAGATAATCATCTATACTTTCATTTTCTACAAATTAAGAGCGAATATAGTTCAAAGGGTAATATTTTTTGCATGACCTGGGGAAATAGCTTTGCGTATTAAAATGTCTTTTTCAGTTACATAAATGAACTTAAAAATAAGGAAATGAGAAAATATAGAATTACTAATGATCGGCCTTCCTTCCTGTTAATATTGGTAAGAAGTATAGTTATCATAGGTTTGTATCTGAATGTACAATTAACGCCTCTTACATAGATTGAAGATGAAGCGGATTAGTGCTTAGAACGTTCGATCTTGACGGAAATAGTCCGAGTTCGATTTCCAAAAGAGGTACAACGTGTGAAGCCTATTTCCTGTGTCCCCTGTCGTGATATTGCTAGAATATTGCAAAAGCAGCGTAAAACCAAACTCCATCACTCACTCTTCCACATATATACTGGTTGTGTGAGTGAGTGGGGTTTCGTAACGCTTAGAACAAACTGTCAGTGAAGTCCATATGCACAGTACCTGTGCTGACAAAAAAAGTGCCACAATCATTTGGAAACATGGGACGTGTGCACAAACCTAGTTCATCATGGAGATGCATATCTCCACATGAAACGTTCATAAAGCTAATGTGGCCAATTCGTCTATTGCGCCACAGAGTTGCCTCCCATAGTCGTGCCAGAATCCTGTGACCATGAATTCGAATTCCAGATTCCCCCTGTTTATGGTTCTTAAATGGTATCCCTAATCACAATTAGCATTGCTGGTCGTGGGGTCGTGCATCAATTGCTTGTTACGTGCTTGACCTCGTTCGAAGTGAGACTTACAAGCTGAAAGTCCCCGGGTGGTGAAAAGCGGACCCGACTATCACACACAAATATGCCACCGAAAAGTTATGTTTAGCTGATATACTCGCCATGCTAAATTCGTTGTGCGAAAATAAATAAACAGTACTCAAAAGAAATAAACACCCAGTTCTTACACATTATTACAATACATCTGCCATGAAATGACAAGACAGCGGATAAAATTCTTAAGTACCTGTGTATTGGGTAATGTTTACTTGCATAACAGAAAACAACACAGTCTGTAAACGACCTCTGTCGCAACTGCTTAAACTATTTTTGTATCTTTTTAAATGAAACTTTGATGAAAACTTGAAAATCCGGTTCAACCTCAAGCACGAGTCCCTGTCGTTAAAGCAAAACATACCTCGAACGTCATAGCAACGTTTGAAACGAACTATATCACATGCTCATGAGGTTAACGGTCGTGGAATATAAGCTCCGGTTTGTCACGTAATAGCTTAATTGAGCCTTGAGTGACACAGGTCGTAGATTCTGACGAAATATGTCCTTGTAGAGTGCTGATAGGAAGAATCAAAGGGAATTATGGGGCATATTTACAAACCCAGTTCATCCCCATCTGTATCACCACCACATTACAAGTAAATCCCCTATATCTAGAACAAACAGGAAAAAAACTCGGTTAGTCGTTACCGTCTTCAAAGCCAGATGCCTGTCGCATCCTTCGTTACCCCGACTAACGGGATCGGGTTGTCAGGTTCGCTGGCTTGGTTGACACATGTCATCGGTTCCTAATTGCGCAGATCGATGCTCATGATGTTGATCACTGGATTGTCTGGTCCAGACTCGATTATTTACGGACCGCCGCCATATAGCTGGAATATTGCTGAGTGCGGTGTAAAACTCACTCACTCACTCACTCCTTAGTTACCCGTGAAGGTGCGGGTTAGAATTGGTCTTCAGCAACCCATGCTCGTCAAAGGCGACTAACGGGGTTGGGTGGTCAGGCTCGCTGACTTGATTGTCAGATATCATTACATCCAAATTGCATAGATCGATGCGGTGATGTGTTGATAATCGAGTCTGATCCAGTGATCATCATCATGAGCATCGATCTATGCGATGCATTGGGATACGATGACCTGTGTCGACCAAGTCTGCTAGCCTCACCGTCCGATAAGCAGCACAGATTAATGCCAAACCAAATTGTTAAACAGATGTACACTCGGATTGATATCATTCAGTCACGCAGTGAGTGAGTGAATTAGGTTTCATGCCACGGTGGGGGACACCAGAAATCGGCTTCACACGTTGTACCCATGTGCGAAATCAAACCCGGGTGTCCGGGTTATAAATATATACACACACAATCTTTAATATCAAAACAAACGTTCGATAACATATGGAAAAGCAGCTTTGTGTGGTGTTATATGATGTTGTAGTTATAGGATCTGAGCGCTACGTTAAATATGTTCACATACGCCACTCCATAATGTTACGTTATAAAACGTAACAACGCACATGCTCAGGACTGCACACCTTGTGGTCCACTGCCCTTCAACATTACCGTAACACCGTATTTCACCCAATAAGTCACTTGGTGGAGAGCTGTCATACATACTATAATATTTTCATATACACCAGTATACCAGGATAGAGAACACCCGATTCTTCCATATTATCATTGTCATGATATCATGTCTATAACTACTTTTGAGTGGTATACGCTGTTTTTTACGTGACATTGACACTTCAGAGACAAGTTGTCAACTGAATATTTTCCTACATATTCTCATTTGAGGTATTTTTTGTGTGTCCGAATTGCCTTCATTTTTCACCATAGGTGTAGTGTTTTTCAAATTGTGTTACACTATCATACTAAAATATATGTGAATCAGGACGTGCATTGTAACCTACCTCTCATTTAGTCTGTCTATCTTCCTTGTCTAGTAGAGTGTGTAGGGGAGCGGATACCCAAAAAGCATTAAAACATGGTACTTGCTGTTGCCCTGCCTGGCAATCGGGATTGGGGGATAAAAGAAGGATTGGTGGAATCGGAGTCAGTAACTGTGTACGAGTAATGTTTTTATGTTGAAATTGCCGTATCGTATCTCATTAGTGCAGACAAGTGCTAAAAGCGCCGGCGCACACACACACGTACGTGCATGCACGTCCCAAAAAAGTGCAGTTATCTTGAACGTGGCTTTAAACCACATATCACCTTACCATGATTTAGTCAAATTTATTGGTAGATTTACGGTGTATTTAATTTAAACCACACACTCTATTGTGCCTTTGTGTTACATAATTCCATTACATTGGGTGGTAGGAACTTGGAAAACGTCCGCTAGGCAAGCAGTGGTTCCAGTATTGCAACCGAATTAACAGTAGAAATACTTTTGCCCATTGCCCTCTCTGCAGGAACCTACTGATCTGTGAGACGCCAAATATCATCAGTCATGGACGATACAAACTCTTTCTATAACGATGAACTCGCTGCGGCTACCGACTTGGTAAGTCCCATGCACTGTAGTGGTAGAACTCTCACGGTTGAACTAACCTGCACGTGTGTGTTTAGTGTTGTGTTTGTTCGTTTGTTTCACGTGTTCATTAACTAATGTCACCTGCTAATCATCTGATGTGTTGTTAATTGGATGAAGGAAACACACGTGTATGATTCAATGGAGATGATTTGTTGATGGTACGGGAAGGTTTTGGGAATTAATGTAAGGGAGATAACTGTCCTTGTTTATCTGGATTCTTTTTTTTTTTTCTTAAGACGCGCATTGGGTTATCTCGATAAAGCCAAATCAGATATTGTATTTCAGGTATGTTGTTTTGGGCACACATGACGCAAAGACAAAAACGGAGTAGTTTTTTTTCCGATTAGTTTTACGTTTTTGTTGTGTAATTTATCTATCTCTTTAACAGTTATTGATGTAGGTAAATTATCTGCCGTGTCGAAGTTATTTCAGCTCCAGGATATTTATAACTATCATATTCACCTAAATTGTAAGCACCACGTGGAATTACGAAGCCAAAAGATGTATTGCCACGTGAAAAAAGGCACAGATGGCATAGTCTAGTGGTTAACGCGTTCCATTGTCACACCAAATGTCTGGGTTCGACTACACACATGATTGCAAAGTTTTAAGCCTATTAAGGTTCTCCCCCCCCCATTGTGATATCGCAGGAATATGTCGAAGAGCGGTGTACGCGCTGACTCCATGTATATATATAGCAATAGTCACTACATTTACGTAAGTAAGTATATTTATGAGATACCATCATTTAGGAGCACGCGATGCACTCTGGCAACAGCTCATTGTCTGTATTAACACGTGTTAAATGTACTAAGCTGTGACAGTGTATACTGGTTACAGGCAGACAATGATCACCTCCCAGCACAAAACAAATAGACCTCTTCGCGGTCTGGGATGGTGGTGGGCACACAGATTTACTCTGGTACATCGGGGACCGCCTCCGTGGTGTAGTGGTTAGAGTGTCCGCCCGGAGAGCGGAAGGTCGCGGGTTCGATCGCCGACCGCGTCATACCAAAAGACGTTAAAATATGGTACTTTCGCTCGGCTCGGCATTAATGGGTACAACAAGAACTGGTCGGCTCGGAGTCAGTATAATGTGTCTGAGTGGGGTATTCATGCTTCACTGCGGCATGGTATCTCAGTGGGCTAGCACTATAAAACCAGCTTCGGTCTGGGCTAGTACAAGCAGCCGCACCTACACATACACACGCATGCACGTCGTCATATGAGCGAAATATTCTCAAGCACGACGTTAAACCTAATTTCACCTCACCTCACCTCACCTCACCTGGTACATCGGATTGTGTAACTGGTTTGTGTAATTTGTTACTTCCCCCTCTCTCATAGTTAAGTTAGAATGGTAGCATACGGTTGCCAGGCCGGTTTAAAAATACCATTCCAACTTAACAAAATTACACGAAGATACTAATCTCATAGCGACGATGACAACGAAAGGTCAGACAGAAGAGCCGATATTGTAATTAAAATATGTTAAAGGTGATGGTAGGCCCATGGAAGCAAAAGATGTGCTCCTGTTTATAGTAGAAAGGTTAACTAAGGTTTTAACAGATATACACATATGTACGGTAAAACTAAGTCATTGAGACAGATATAATCATCTGTATTGTAAAACGGTAAAACCAAGGTTTTAACACAGATAATAATTATGCTTATCTTTACGGTCAAACCAACGTTTTAATGTGCTCATCTTAATGATAATAGGTTTTAACACAGATATGCTCATCTTTATGGTAAAAACTGTAAAACCAAGGTAAAACCCTTGTTGAAGGTTGACAGAAATAACTAGATAAATATACTGCTCACATGTTGACAGGGATACTGAAATATTTACCACTTACCTGATCAACGAGGATGGCAGCTGGTTGACCTGGCTTGGATTGTCAAAGGGTACAATGTGTGAGGCCAGTTTCTAGTGTTTTCTGCTGTCATATTGCTGAAGTATAATACAAAGGGGCTTAAAGCTATACTCACTCACTCACTCACTCACTCACTCACACTATTAAGAACAATATCATAATATGAAGGTAACTCCCAACAACCCCAAACCTGGATATAATGAAAGTATCCCTTTGAAACGTTGACTAGCATATATATAAAATAACGGTAACATCTGGACATAAAATAAGTTAAATGAATTTACCTGTATCTTAACCTGACGCCAACTGTCATATGTACTTTCCGCTTCGCTTAGTACTATCCAACGTCATTGACAGGTTTTAATATACACCATCATACACAATATGACAATTTCCCTACTCTGCGACTGCTCGTTGCCGGGGTGACACGTGGCCAGATCTCTCCGAGTGTTATGGAGCTTGGACTATGGGGTGGGGCAGCGTTGCTGACGCTTACCTTGGGGGTCATTATAGCAGATCTTATCGCAATGTTCTCATGGGAGGTAAGACAATATGATTTTGTAACATACAATACCTTTTCTGTTTTCATGTCTATCTTAATTATTTCTATCTAATACTGACTGTATTACTGATTTATGGAATATACATAATATACACATATATGATATGTGTATTGGCAGATGTTATGGTGTTGCCAGGGGTAAAATGCCAAATCGAAGTGATTTTTACCCCGAACAGTCATGATAATGAGACATATTTTAACCGAATCGATACCTGATAATTGGGTTCCCACTTCCTGGCGGCATTGTCAATATTCTTATCCATAATTAAAAAGATCTTATAATAATAAAAGCCTCACTATTGATCCTAAACAATGTTTATTGTCAGTTTTCCATATTTATGCTGTAACGAGAATGGTAACAGGCCACTTCAGAAGCAATACTCCCCATATAACTCGATGGGTGTCGCCAAGAATGGTCTTCACGCAGTGACCCCCAAGGGAGAATCGAAACTGAGTGTTTCGTAACATGAGCAAGCACAGTACCCGCGAAGCTACCCTACGCCCTTATAATATAAGTGCTGTAAGCATCCCAAAGGGATCCTAGTTGAAATACATCCCCTAAGAGTGGTTGGTTGGTTGGTTGGCCCCCTCGGCAATATTTCAGCTATATGACGGCGGTCTGTAATTATCGCATCTGGACCAGACGATCCAGTGATCAACACTATGAGTATCGTTCTACGCAGTTGGGATACGATGACATTAGCCAAGTCAGCGAGCCTGACCACCCGGTCACGTTAGTCGCCTCTTTCGACAAACATGGGTTACTGAAGGCCAGTGCTAACCCGGATCTTCACGGGTATATCCCATAAAAACATAAGAGGCGTCTAAACTGATCGGTGGATGAAGATGGGTGAATTGTTTGACGGTCATCGTACCCTCGACGGCATGGGCTGTGGAGCATTATATCAATCATTGGATGCCTGGTTAAGACATTATTTATTCAATATGCTTATCAAATACTTATGAGCGGGAGAAATGTTGTGTTAATTTTGTGATAGAAGAGGAGCTATCATTTCCTGGAGGTCCAGGTTTGTATCGTAATAGAATTGTGGGCAATACGCGCTCTCGCAATACCTTTTACGATTGCAACATGTGTGTACACCCACTGGTGTCAACACTTGTCGCCCTCGCCTACACTAGCTTATGGAACAGGTGGTACCGACGCTTGCGTGGCTGAGTGTTAGTAACGCGCCACCAGCATATTGAAACACTGTACCATAGTGGGGGCGGACTGTCGAAAATTTTATAAATTCGATGTTTCGGGTTTTTGCGTAAGGAGGCAATTAGGCGTGAACACTATGCGTGTGTATTCGATAAAACATTCGACAGTCCGGGTGTAAACCTATTGGGGACTATTGAGGAGGAAACAACTATTGCGATAGCGATAGTCTATTGCAACATACTATCGCGAATACTATTGCAATAGGTTTTTTTCTCCTTTAATTGTCTCATTTGAAAGCACTTCCCAAATGAATGTATAGTTACAGGGCCGTAGCTACCATCATAAAAAACGGCGATGATATATCACTTAAAACAAATGGCTGTTTTAAGATAATCATTTATGACCGATACCTTCAGGTCATTAACGATATTCATCGCCAAACCCGTGGCTGTTTTACGACAATCATTTATGACCGATACCTTCAGGTCATTAACGATATTTCACCCAAAATACTTGGCTGTTTCACGACAATCATTGGTCATCGATATCTTCAGGACATTTACGATTTTCACCCAAAATACTTGGCTGTTTCACGACAACCATTCGTCATCGATATCTTCAGGACATTTACGATTTTCACCCAAAATACTTGGCTGTTTCACGACAACCATTCGTCATCGATATCTTCAGGACATTTACGATTTTCACCCAAAATACTTGGCTGTTTCACGACAACCATTGGTCATCGATATCTTCAGGACATTAACGATATTTCACCCCCCACACGTGGCTGTTTCACGACAATCATTGATGACCGATATCTTCAGGACATTTCACTCAAAACACATATTTCCTATGATAACCATTCCGTTATTTCTTCCCGTCAGTATATTCCATAGTTGGCATTAACCATGTGATGTGATCATCTACGTGTAACCTGTGTATGGCATTTAATGTACAATACGTCTATGTGTAAATGCACTCACTGGTGTCAACACTTGTCGCCCACGGTTCCACCAGCTTATGGAACAGGTGGCAGCGACACTTGCGTGGCTGAGTATCAGTGACAAGCCACCAGCATATTGAATACCAGGAATGAACTTGTAAATTTCCCCGTGTTTTTTTTAGTATTAGGCTCCGTCCATCCGTCTGTCTGTCCGTCCGTCCGTACGTACGAATTGGAATATCTTAAGAACCGTTGACTGGATTCGTTCATATTTGGTACCTAGGTTCATCACAGTAAAAGAAAGGTCCCAGTCAGGTTTGGTGACCTTGACCTTCATTTCAAGGTCACAAGGGGACTTTAACGTTTTACCCTTGTCAGCGAGATATCTCAAGAACCATTCTCTGGATTATCTTCATATTTGAC